CGCCTGCATTCATTCATTAACAGATTTTGTTGAGTCCTCACTACGAATTAAGTCCTGTTCTAGGTGCTGGAGTTACAACAGTGAAGGAAATAGACAAGAACTTGTGCCCTATGGAGCTGACATCCTGGAAGATGGATAAGCCCCACGTACAGAGGTAAACATACCATGTGTCAGATGGCAACAGGTGCTATGGAAACAAGCAAAAAATGAGAGGGGTGTGGCTGCAATTTTAGATCAGAGATCAGGGAAGCCTCACTAGGATGGGTTCATTTGAGCAAAGACCCAAAGGAACAGAAGGAGGTAGCCAGCCAGATATCTGGGGAGGAGGCATTTCAGGCAAAGGAAACTGCATGTGCAAAAGCCCTGAGGCAGGAGCTATTTAACTTGGTCAAGGAACAGCAGGAGGCCAGCATGAGCCAGAGGAAGGTGACAGGAAGGGAGGGGGGTGGGCAGAGCAAGTTGTGCAAGACCCTGAGCCTCACAGGAGGCTCTTTGGTTTTTCCTCTGAGCATAGCTGGAAGTGATTGGAAGCTTCTGAGCAGTGCGGGAATGTGATCTGACTTGAATTGTAAAGGATGACTGTCTATGTGAAGAATAGATGACCGGAGACAAGGTGGCTGCAGAGTCAGTGAGGGGGGTCTTGCAGTAATTCAGCCAGGATGACAAAGGCTTGGCTCAGTAGGAACATGGAGAGACAGAGAAGGGGTCAGACTCACACAATGATATATTGATGGCTTATATATGTGTTCTCCCAGAGGCAGTCGAGCGGGGAGTTAAGAGTGGGACCTCTGGAGTCCAGCAAGCCTGCGTTTTTTTTTGTTGTTGTTTTTGTTTTTTTTGTTTTTTTTTTTTTGAGACGGAGTTTCGCTCTTGTTACCCAGGCTGGAGTGCAATGGCGCGATCTCGGCTCACCGCAACCTCCGCCTCCTGGGTTCAGGCAATTCTCCTGCCTCAGCCTCCTGAGTAGCTGGGATTACAGGCACACGCCACCATGCCCAGCTAATTTTTTGTATTTTTAGTAGAGACAGGGTTTCACCATGTTGACCAGGATGGTCTCGATCTCTTGACCTCGTGATCCACCCGCCTCGGCCTCCCAAAGTGCTGGGATTACAGGCTTGAGCCACCGCGTCCGGCCGCAAGCCTGCGTTTTAATCCTGGTCCTTCTTTCCCAGTTGGTTGCCTTTGGGAGAATTGACTTAATCCTCCAGAAGTTCCATTGTTCCCTCATTGCAGAAACTACCTCTGCTACCTCTTAGCTATGCTAAGCTTCCAATGTAGTAATGCCTGTGTGTTAGTCCGTTCATACATTGCTATAAAGACATACCTGAGACTGGGTAATTTGTAAAGAAAAAAGGTTTAAATGACATTTAATATTCCAAACATTTCCACTCCTGGTAATGTATTAATATCTTAAGTTGTCAAGCCTTAAAGGAAACCAAAAGATCATAGTAATCACGCTGGGAAGCTGTGCCTGGTGCACGATGGATGAGAACGCCTAGATAACGAACAGCCAAAGCATCGGCTCCCCACCCCGCCTTCACCTGCTCAGACCCACACATCACCTCCACACCTGTGAGAGCTACACACAATGGTGTGTGTGACACGCTCACCACACTGTTTGGAAGGTGAGTATTCTAAGTGGAGTCTATCTGTCTATCAGTGGTTTTCCATGGCTTATAAGAGTTCCAGCAGTGCCTCAAGGGCAACACCAATCTGAATTTCTGTGTACAAGAGGTATAAGGGAGGCGGTCTGGTTGGTGGTTGGGCTTGGGTATTTGTCTTGACGCTAAATTTGCATGACAAACCCACTGCTGAAGTTGGAGTTTCTGCCACTGCTGGGGACTGCCTTTATTTTCTTGCACTGCTGGGATACCCTTTAGAAAACAAAACGGGAGGCTAAGAAAAAAGAAATTTAGCATTTATGGAACATCTGCTCTATGCCAGATATTTTCCAAACACTGACCTACTTAACCATTACAACAGTTCTGCAAGGTAGGAACTATCCCCTTTTTATAAATGAAAGAGGCTGAAAAAGGTTAATTAACCTGCCTGTATTTGGTATCTTTTGCAGCATAACAAATTACCCCCAAACTTGGTGGCTTAAAACAACAAACACGCATTACCTCACAGTGCCTGTGGGTCAGAAACCAGGGAGAAACATAACTGGGTAGTTCTGCCTAGCTTGCACATGACACACAGTAAATGCTCAATAAATATTACAATGAAAGAGTGAATGCACAAAAAGCCCTAAACAGTCGATCCCAAGCATGACTGTCTTCCCTCCCCTTCCACCCTCTCTCCTCAGCCCAGCTGCACTGGTTCTAGCTTGCGTCATATGCTCTCACCCCAAGAAAGGGTGCACATCCCTTTCTTGGGGCGAGAGCATGTGACGCAAGCTAGAACCAGTGCAGCTGATTGAAACCTCATGAGGGTTTCAATCAGGACATTGGCAAGGGTCCCAGTCATCCAAAGGCTTAACTGGGGCTGGAGGATCTGCTTCTGTATCAGGCAGAATAATGCCCCCCAAAGATGTCCATACCCTAATCCCTGAAACCTGTGAATACTGTATGCTAAAAAGGAATAAATGTTGTAGATAGAATGAAGGCTGCCAGCTAGTACCTAGGGACATTATCCTAGATTATCCGATGTAATCACAGGGTCCCTAAAAATTGAAAAGGGATGCAGAAGAAGTTGTCAGAGAAGGAGATTGGCAACAGAAGCAGGGTCAGAAAGATGCAGTGTTGTTTATTTGGAAGCAGAGGAAGGGGCAACAAGCCAAGGAACGAAGGCTACCGCTAAAGTTGGAAAAGACAAGGAAGCACATTCTCCCCTAGAGACTCCATAAAGAAACAGCTCTGCTGACACTTTGTTTTAGCCGGGGGAGGCCCCCTGTTGGACTTCTAACCTATAGACTTTAACATAGATGTGTGACGTTTTAAGCTGCTAGGTTTGTGGTCATTTGTTACAGCAGCAGTAGAAAACTAATACAAGCATCCAAGGTGGTTCACTCACATGGCTGCTGGGAAAAGACCTCAGCTCCTCACCATGAAGGTGACTCCTACAGTCTGCTTTAGTGTCCTGACAACATAGCAACCATCTTCCTCCAGAGCAAGTGCTCTCAGAGAGAGAACAAGGAAAAAGCTGCAATGCCTTTCGTGCTCTAGTGTTGAAAGTCTCTAGTTGCAGAGTCACCAAGTATGAACAGTCCACACATAAGGGGAAGGGAACTGAGCGTTTATGGCTGTACACCCTGAACATGCTCAAACTCATCTGAAGGGAGGAGTTTCAAAGAATTTGTGGACTTTTTTCCACACTGCCAAGGTCACACCAGGTTAATCAGTAGGTTTCAAATTAAATTATAAACTCAGGCTTCTGTCCCCAAAGTCTACACTCTTTCCATTTCATAGAATTACAGAGCTGGTTCTAAGATTCAAGTACTGCAGTCTTGCCATATTACTAGTGGTACTGAGGCTGGGTTCCCCAGGAATAGTAATGGGGATCTGAGAACTATTTTCAATATTTTTAAATTGCAAAGGGAACATCACATTCCCAACTAAGATGAGGTCGCACCAGCTCTTACATGAAATGACATCAACTCAATTTGCTTATACTGTGATCAGAAGCTCTAGTTGGAAGTTATGGATGTCTTTAATAAAACATGGAGAACCTAATGTTATTAAATAAGGTCTATCTGACAGATAACATCTTTCAGAATATAGCCTTCCAAGGACAAAAAACAAAGAGCATCTTGGTGGGGAGGTGGTAGGGTATCCCTGCTCTACAGCAGCTTTCTGTTTCACGAATGGGAAAACCGAGGCTCAGAGAGGGTGGGGTCTCACCCAGGTCACGCTGAGACTTAAACAAAGCCAGGATTGAACCAGGACATCCTCATTCCCAAGTCAGTGCTCACAGCCTCCGAGGAAAAGGTTTTCTTTAAATGAGAGAGGGGCGAGCAGGGAAGTAACCAAATAATTTTCTAATTGTTCCTCCAGGGAAGGAGGAACAATTGCTTATGGTGCATTGCTTATGAGGAAAGGCCATTAATGTGTCCCCATGGGAGTTAATGACAGGGAGGTGATGACTAATCTTGGAAGAGGGTTTTGGGGAGGAAGAGGTGGAGTCTCTGTCCAAATGACTACATGGATCCCAGAATAGTCCAACAGGCAAGAAATGACCCTGAGCCATGAGTGTGTTCTCTACCCTGGATGTCAATCCCTAAAAGAGGAGGACTCAGATGACCCTTCATCTGAGTTCCTTGAATAATCTGGTTTCTTGAATAATTTCCAGGACCTGGCTCTGCCCCTGCCCCCAGCCAGGTTCAGACCTCCTTAGAGTCCCAGGAAGAATCTCATTTCTGCAAAATGGTGCAGCTGCTGTGGAAAAGTTTTTTTCACTTGGCCCTCATTTCTCACTTTCTTATTTCAATTGTAGCTCCCAATTGATGCTCCTCAAAAATTGAAAGTATATTTACCATGTGATACAGCAGCTCCACTTTGGGGTATATGCCCAAAAGAATTGAAAGCAGGAACTAAAACAGATATTTGCACACCCACAGGCACAGCAGCGCTATTCACAACAGCCAAAACAAGGAGCATCCAAATGTCCATCGGCAAATGAGTGGATAAACAAAATGTGGTCTCTGCATACAAGGGAAATTATTCAGCCTTAAAAAGGAACGAAATTAGGCCCAGTGCAGTGGCTCACGCCTGTAATCCCAGCACTTTGGGAGGCTGAGATGGGCAGATCATGAGGTCAGGAGATCGAGACCATCCTGGCTAGCACAGTGAAACCCTGTCTCTACTAAAAATACAAAAAATTAGCCAGGCATGGTGGCACACACCTGTAGTCCCATCTACTCTGGAGGCTAGGGCAGGAGAATAGCTTGAGCCTGGGAGGTGGAAGATGCAGTGAGCTGAGATTGTGCCACGGCACTCCAGCCTGGGCGACAGAGCAAGACTCAGTCTCAGAAAAAAAGGAATGAAATACTGGCAAATGCCACAACATGGATGAAACCTGAAGACATTCTGCTAAGTGAAATAAGTCAGTCACAAAAAACACACACTGTGTGATTTCACTTATAAGGTGAAATTCAGTCAAATTCAGAGAGAGAAAGTAGAATGGTGGCTGCCAGAGGCTGGGAGAGAGGAAATGAGCCGTCCGTGTTTAATGGGTACAGAGTTTAGGTTTGGGAGGATGAAACTGTTCTGGAGATGGATAGCAAGGATGGCTGCATGACAGTGGAAATGTACTTCATGCCACTGGACAATACATTTAAAAATGGTAATGGTGTTACTTTTTTTTTTCCATTTATTTATTTTATTGCATTTTAGGTTTTGCGGTACATGTGAAGAACATGCAAGATTGTTGCCTAGGTACACCCGTGGCAGTGTGATTTGCTGCCTTCCTCCCCATCACCTACATCTGGCATCACTCCCCATGCTATCTCTCCCCAGCTCCCCACCCCCCACCATCCCTCCCCTATTTCCCCCCAACTGACCCCAGTGTGTAGTGCTCCCCTCCCTGTGTCTATGTGTTCTCATTGTTCAACACCCGCCTATGAGTGAGAACATGCGGTGTTTGATTTTCTGCTCTTCTGTCAGTTTGCTGAGAATGATGGTTTCCAGATTCATCCATGTCCCTACAAAGGACACAAACTCATCATTTTTGATGGCTGCATAATATTCCATGGTGTATATGTGCCACATTTTCCTTACCCAGTCTATCGTCGATGGGCATTTGGGTTGGTTCCAGGACTTTGCTATTGTAAACAGTGCTGCAATGAACATTCATGTGCATGTGTCCTTATAGTATATATATATATATATATAGTATATATATATATCCTTTGGATATATACCCAGTAATGGGATTGCTGGGTCAAATGCAATTTCTATTTCTAGGTCCTTGAGGAATCGCCACACTGTCTTCCACAATGGTTGAACTAATTTACACTCCCACCAACAGTGCAAAAGTGTTCCTATTTCTCCACATCCTCTCCAGCATCTGTTGTCTCCAGATTTTTTAATGATCGCCATTCTAACTGGCGTGAGATGGTATCTCAGTGTAGTTTTGATTTGCATTTCTCTGATGACCAGTGATGATGAGCATTTTTTCATATGTTTGTTGGCCTCGTGTATGTCTTCTTTTGAAAAGTGTCTGTTCATATCCTTTGCCCACTTTTGAATGGGCTTGTTTGTTTTTTTCTTGTAAATCTGTTTTAGTTCTTTGTAAATTCTGGATATCAGCCCTTTGTCAGATGGGTAGACTGCAAAAATTTTTTCCCATTCTTTTGGTTGCCGATTAGCTCTAATGACTGTTTCTTTTGCTGTGCAGAAGCTGTGGAGTTTGATTAGGTCTGGTGTTACTTTTTATGCTGTGTATAATTTGCCAAAATTTTTTAAAAATATAAAAAAGACATCAGGGAGGTAACACTCTTGGGGAGGGCTAGAAAACCAGGCTTTGAAGCTATCTATCCAGGACTGACACCCCAAGTTCCCCTGAAGACCCCACAGGGTGGAGACATGGCTGCTGAGCTGCCAGGCGCAGACACACTACCAGTGCTGGACTCCAGACCCTGCCACTGCTGGGGAGCTGCTGCCTTGCCACCAGCCCTGCCAGGATATCTCTGCTTCCTCACAAACTTCTGCCTCAAGGAGCAGAAGACCAGGTCATGTGCACACAGCCTGAATCCAAAGGGCCCTGGGAAATCATGTGCATATAATTTGTATCAACTACCATTGCAGGAAATGGGTTCTAGTTCGTAAAGTGGGAGATTTCTCCCAAATATTTTAGAAAAAATGGCCCTGATATGGTTTGGCTGTGTCCCCACCCAAATGTCATCTTGCATTGTAGCTCCCATAATTCTCACATGTTGTGGAAGGAACCCAGTGGGGGATAACTGAATCATGGGGGCGGTTTCCCCCATACTATTCTCATGGTAGTGAAAAAGTCTCATGAGATCTGACAGTTTTATAGGGGATTTCTCCTTTCACTTGGCTCTCATTTCTCTCCTGACTGCTGCCACGTACGATGTGCTCTTTGCCTTCCACCATGATTCTGAGGCCTCCCCAGCTACGTGGAACTATGAGTCCTTAAACCTCTTTTTCTTTATAAATTACCCAGTCTTGTAATCAGCAGCCTGAAAACACACCAATACAGGCCCTTTGCCTCCATCCACACCACCCACCTTCCGGATCCAGAGTAGCATGTCTCAGCCCAATACTCCTAACTTCCTCCTTCCTGGCCTCTCTTTCTAGAGCTACCCCTTCCTATCCAATCTGCAGTCTCTGTATTCTCAAGGGTCGTCCCTCCCTTCCTTACACTCTCATCCACTGTGTCACCAAGGCCAGCCCGGCTCTGCCTCCCCAGCATTCTTGTCCACCTTCTCCTTGCCACTCCTTTCCTCTCTGCTCTTAGAATCTTCATGCAGGCCCCCATTACCCCCTTCTGGTTCCCAAGCACAGGAACACTCTTGAGCATTCTCAGTTTCCCCCCATGATGCTTCTACATGGTAAACCAGACTAAAGCATTCTCCTGGTGAAAATTCACCTAACACTGGCTCCTCTGTGCCTTGAAGATAGAAGGCCAAGGCCTTAGCCTGGTATCCATGCACCCTTCACCCACAGCCTCCTGTGGGATCATAACCAGAGTATATCCCAGCTGTAGGCACCATGCTCTCTCTTGTGCACCCAAATACTACATTTCCAAATGGACCAACCTTCCCACCCATTGACCAAGCAAAATACTCAGGAGCCTTGCTTGGCCTCCAAGGCTAGGTTGAGGGCCCTCTCTGTGTCCTGACACACGTATCCTGCCCATCTACACCTCACTCAGCTCCAGAACAGTACTTATTGCTCCAAAATGGAACAAACTGTTCACTTATTGAAGCCCATGACCCCCAGTAGCCTGCAAGCTCCTTCAAGTATGAGACAAGGTTGTGTCTCAGCACCTAGCATGGCAAACAGTAGACACTCAATAAATGCTAAACGCATGCATGAGGCAACTGAAGTCTTAGCCCCTAAAGAACACAGCCCTGTCTCTGGGGAGCCAGTCCTGGTATAACAGGCTGGGCTCTTTAAGACTCAGTAGGTTTTGGTCTGGGGTGATGCTAGCATATCTTATTGCCTCTGGCCCACAGGGCCTCTACCCTCAAAACCACCAGCAGGAGAACAGCCACTGGCCTATCTCTAGAACTTCCTGTATAACCAAAAGTAGCCTAGAACAACTTAGAACCCAGCCTCCCATCTCATCTCAGAACCCAGCCTCCCATCTCATCTCAGAACGCAGCCTCCCATCTCATCTCAGAACCCAGCCTCTCATCTCTCATCTCAGAACCCAGCCTCCCAGCCGCTTATCGGTCCTGCCTGCTCCGTCCAGGCTATATCATGTCCTCAATGCACCAACAGCCTTGCCTAAGCTTCCAGCCACACTGAGGCAAGATGAGCCCTGCTAAGCCTAGTAGGACAAGCCTGGCCTAAGTTTCAGCATAGTGAAGGCACAGGTCTCCATGGTCCCACCCCAGAACTTCCTGGTTGCACATGGCCCCGCATTTCATCACCTGCCTTTCTGCTTAGAGTTCTCCCCCTGCCTTCCCATTCTTTCTCCAGTTCCTTCCTTCCCTGCTTTTCCTTCCCTCCTTCCTTCCTTCCTCCCTTCCTCCCTCCCTCCCTTCTTTCCTTTCTCCCTCCCTTCCCTTCCCTCCCTTTCTTCCTTTCCTTTCCTCCCTTTCTTCCTTCCCACTCCCCTGACTTCCCTCTCCTTTCCCTCTTGCTATGGTCTGAATGTTTGTGTCTACTCCATATTTGTATGTTGAAATCCTAACCCCCACCATGATGGTATTAGGAGATGAGATCTTTAGAAGGTCATGAAGGTTAGCCCGCATCAATGAGATTAGTGCTTTTATAAAAAGGCCAGAGAGAGACCCCTTTTCCTTTCTGCCATGTGAGGACACAGGAAAAGGATAGCTATCTATAAAACAGAAGTCGGGCCCTCATGAGACACTGAATCTGCTGGTGACTTCATCTTGGGCTTTCCAGCCTCTAGAACCATGAATAATAAGTTGTGAGAGCAGCCCTCATGGACTACGACACTTCTCTCTTCCATCCACAACCATTTCCATGAATGCCTGTAGCCTGCCAAACAGGTAGAAAATTGAGGAATCAGCACATCTTGGTGTACCCATTCTTGCAGCTGCTGTGCTAGTCGCCTAATATGGAGCATCTCACCACTTCCAGCCCACAGTCTCTGACACTGGAATTATGATACTCAGTTTACAGAGCAGGAAATTTTGCTCAGACAGGTCCAATCATTTGTCCAACCTTGCTCATTAAGTCACCTAGCTCACATTCAAACTCTGGCTGCAAAGGACACACCCTCCTCCCTGCACCATCTGCTTTTTCTGCTCTGACAACGTCTTCTGCAAGAGGAAAATGGCCTACTCCTTCTGCCCTTGAAGAAGTTTCAGCACCGCAGTAGGGAGAGCATTCCTGCCTGCCAAGAAATTTAGACAAAAGGTGAGGGAGGCCCGGGAAAACCAGACATTCACTTTCTGTTGGGGAGATGCGTGAATTCTTCAAGAATAGATGAGGCTTAGGCTGCATGAAAGAAAGTTCAAGGGTAGGACAGGCAGGAAGGATGGGGTAAGCTACATGAACAGGTCAGCCTCCCTGGAACTCAGAGAGGCCTGTGCGTCACTGAGAAGTGATGCCCATCCTTGCAAACCACATAGGAAATAGAAATATTGGGCAATGATAAAAATAGCTCCATGGTGACGATGTATTTTTTGGAACCACCTGGACGGTGAGATATTGCTGATGCTCCACCGGTGAGGCTGCTTAGATTGATCCATGCTCAGGTGGGAGGAGACAAGCAAATGAACTCATCACTTCAGGTAGAGAAAAAATAAAAGGTCACCTTTTGTACCAAGATACTTTTCAAAGTCACAGATCCTAGCAATACCTAAACCCCATACTTACATAACTGAGGGTTTTGCAGCCCAGGGCTTGGTGTCTGCAGTGAGGATCTTTTAAGAAAACAAATGGTCAGTGTTTACACGACAATGACAGAAAAAAAAAATAATGAAA